CAGTCCTTTTGAGCAAAAAGAAAGAAAAATATGTATTTAGCCCTTTATATTTTTTTATGTAAATAAAAGCTAGCTGACTGTTAAAGCAAGTTGGTCTGAATATGATAGACATTTAGTCGAGCTAACAAATCAAGCAATGAATTACATGAAAATCACACGATTTTCACACAAATTACACAGTTAAACACGTCACCGTTTGTTCCACTGGCTCTGGTTCGAAGGGAAAAAAGGTTATGATGTGCGCAATGCTGACAGCAATCTAGATAAACAGGACATAATGTTATATTTGACTTGGATACCTGATCTGGTATGTTATATGATACTCATTGTATTAATCGTGAGTTATTAAAGCAAATGACTCGATTGAAATCGCTATTTGTTTCAAATACATTCACTCTAAACTTTTATTGATGTAAATAGCCAAAACCAAGTGCACGAAACAAGTAACTCACGGCTAAATTATAACAAATAGTTCCGTATTAGGATACACGCGCACATCAAAGCCAACATATCAAATAATATAACGTTAGATGACAACAAAAAAAGACATACATACCTATGATTTAGCAGAAACGTCGTTGGCCTGCTCTTAACTAGGGATGGCTGACGTGAAACTGATGTTTTGACACAGTGTCGAGATCCCGAAGCGCAAGTGTTTCGAATCACTGCACCGAAGCATGATCCGAAGCACCCAAGTCACGTGACTAAAGTGTTTCGAAACACCTAGTCACGTGACTAAAGCGATTCAAAGCATCGATCAGCTTAGAAACGTTTCGAGACCTGGTGAATCCTAACTTGACTGCCAAGGTCTCCAAATTATCTCTGTCTCAAATGGCTTAGAGCACTGTGGGTTTGCTTATTGATTCTATGCTTAGCATGATGTTTTGGGTTCGAATCCCGACTTCGAAATCATGGTTTTATGTATTTTAATCATGTTTCTGTTTTGTGTAGCCTAAATAGGATACAGCTACAGTTACGCCATCAATTTAGCATCATTTTTGTAACACTGTAAAACAATAATAAATATTTTTACAGTATGGTTGGGTTTAGGGTTTGGGTAGACATTAATAAAATACAATAAATGGGAAATTTAATGAATAATATAAATAATTCTTGATAACTTCAGGCCACCGTTTTTGATCTAGCAACAACCCTGTTTTAAGACAAACACAAGACATATTTATTCACAAATTGTTTATTCGGATATCAGACCAATGTTGAAACAAAACGATACAAGAGCAAAGCATTACCAACTGGTATTAAAGCATTTTAAAACAACTGCTGTTGACTGGCTTCGAAACCTACTACTCCTGCATGGATGTCTGACACCTTAACCACTGTACTATGTTACTTGAACGATTTCACTTTCACAAAGTGGGGTTTAATCCCTCAATTTGTTCAATCGTTCTTTGCTGAAGCTGTTTCAGTGCAATATATATAAAAAATGACCACTATATGTCACTGTAGAGTGAGGTTTCGAAACGTTTCGAAGCTTCGACACATTTGCTTCGACTGTTTCAGTGTTTCACGAAGCCTCGCTTTGCCCACCACTACTCTTAACCGCTCTATCACGGTCTCTCACATCATTAATACACTGGTAAAATAGATCGGGCAGTCAGATGGGTAGCACATCGCACAAAAACATGTATACAATTATATACAATCGATTATGAAAACGATTGACACGTAGCTCCGCAGAAAGAAAGATGGTTCGTTTTGTCGCGCGCACGTGACAGGTACCCCCTGCAGTGAGCTATGGAAGTAAATTGCGCATGCGCCAGAAGCTTATAAGGCGCATGCGCCAACAAGAAGGGCACGCATCAACGCAAAACTAAGAATTTTGTATTAGTTCAACGAAATATTTTAAGTTTTTCACATTGAAGCACCATATTTGTTGAACAAACTAACTATTATTTGTCAGCATTTCAAATGAAAATATTTAAATTCAGTTAACTTATTAATCTTTGTTCAGAGGACTTTTTGAAAGTTGGCGTTTTTACAGTGTTTTTAAGTCAGTCAACCAGTTGTTTTTATTTATAAAGCACATTTTTGTCACCGACTCGGTCCCAGTAACTCCCCTCGCTGGCCAGCAGAGGCCACCATCTCCGGACTTTTAGCATTACGTCATCCATCTACACTGATTGCGCATACACCTGATTGTAATCTGGCTAATGACCCACGTACCTCTTATAAGCCGCACTCAAACACTCGTTCAGGGCGAAGTCTTGTTTAGCCCCGGCCAGCATTTCTGAGCATTATCTCCAGCCTGATCTCCTGTGCATGACTCCAGCCTGTCTCTTACTTTTCTTCGCCTTCTGCCTGCCCACGACCCACGCTTGTTATACGGACTCTGACTCTCTCTCTGCCTGCCCACGAACCACGCCTGTTATACGGACTCTGATCCTTGCTGCCTGCCCTTGACCCAAGCCTGCATAACGGATCCTGGTTCTCGCTCACTCCCTTCCACTCATGCCTGGTAACTCACTCTGTGTCTGTTCATCATCAGTCTTGATACCTATACTACTACTGTGGATGTGTGTGTGCACTCCGGTGCATATTGTGTGTTTGAGTGAAGTTGTGATTAATAAATACTGCATAATGGATCCCTCCGTGTCAGTCTCCTCGTTACAATTTTAAAAAGGATGCTCAATAGAGTTAAGCTTATGCTTTAAAACGTTAATATAAAACACACCAATGAAAACATTCCTTCATTCATTTCCCTTCAATTGATTATTACTAGCTATGTTCCATCCACCTATTTTTTTACAAATGCGCATGAGAAAACCAGTTGATGGAAACGTCATGATGCGCATAAATTTTGAAAATGCGCATAAAAAACGTATGCGCCTAACTGGGTAGGATAAACTTTTTATTCGATAAGAAAAGTTGCGCATAAACTGCAATGGAAACACTTTTACCGCACAAACTCCAGCATGCGCATTAAAAAAGGTCATGTGATTTTGTTAAAGGAGATCATGTGATGCTTAAAATGTGTGTGAATGGACAAAACGTCAGGCTGAGCACATTATAAAACAACTGAAATGTTGTTTTGGTCATTATAAAACGCCTTACCATTTCAGTATTAGTGTTATTATATTATTAATGACCTCCAGAATCGAGAGCGCCTGTGCTCCGCGTCTGACACCTTCAAACGCCGCTGCGCGCTCACTGCTTGTCAGGATTGTCTACTGAGGCGCATTCATTTAGAAAAGACTGATGCAGCTTCTCCTACTGCAGCAAATGCAGTTTTTACTGTTGATATTTGGCACCAGTTAATCAGGAAGTGACGATTTTGTTCGCTTGACTCGTTGGATGGAAACGATGCCTCATTCGCACAACTTTTATTCGACAATCCAGTTTTGCGCATAAAGTTTATTCACATTTTTGAATGGAAACATGACTAATGACCGCCAACTATTCCAGCATATGTTTTACGCAGCGGATGCCCTTCCAGCTGCAACCCAACACTGGGAAACACCCATACACTCTCACATTCTCACACACACACTCATACACTACTGCTAATTTAGTTCATCTATATGGTGTTTTATTAATTTTTATCTTCCTCACTTTTCCTTCGGCTTAGTCCCTGATTTTTCAGTGGTCGCCACAGAGGAATGAATCACCAATTTTTATTTATTTTCATTTATTATTTTTTCATTTATTCATTTTCCTTCGGCTTAGTCCCCTATATATCAAGGGTCGCCACAGCAGAATGAACCGCCAACTTATCCAACATATGTTTTACGCAGCGGATGCTCTTCCAGTCGCAACCCAACACTGGAAAACACCCATACACTCATGCACACATACGGCCAATTAAGCTGATTCAGTTCACCTGTACCGCATGTGTTAGTACTGTGGGGGAAACCGGAGCATCAACACGGGGAGAACATGCAAGCTCCACACAGAAACGCCAACTGAGCCAGCCGAGACTCGAACCAGCGACCTTCTTGCTGTGAGGCCACAGTGCTAACCACTGGGCCACCATGCTGTTTCAATAAAAACATTACTACACAATTATAGCACTGCACCTATCATGAGTTTTACCATCTAAACTACCAAAATGCAGACTTGTGTTTTCATATGGAAAATTCTGCATTAACACATCCCAGATTTCCAGGATTTCTGACTTTGTCTTGTGTTGTAAATCTGAATTTAAGAAACAATTACCTTACAAAAAAATTAAGCCTTACAAAACAAGAAGCAATAATGGTGGACGGCTGCTTCTCACTCAGGGCTGTTTATGCTAATGAGAGAGAGATCATCACTAATGGGCGGGGCTTTCCCCCCTCTGATGAGACGTACAAAGGGTTAATGTCCATCAAAGTGTTTCTGAAGCACACTCACTGTAAGTAATGTTGAAGTATGTATTTAAGTAAACTTCATGTATTAAGTATACTAACATCTATGTATTAGTAGTATACTTGCAAATAGGGTGGGCTATTCATATGGATACACCTTAATAAAATGGGAATGGTTGGTGATGTTAACGTCCTGTTTGTGGCACATTAGTATATGTGAGGGGGCAAACTTTTTAAGATGGGTGGTGACCATGGTGGCCATTTTGATGTCGGCCATCTTGGATCCAACTCTTGTTTTTTTCAATAGGAAGAGGGTCATGTGACACATCAAACTTATTGGGAATTTCACAAGAAAAACAACGGTGTGCTTGCTTTTAACGTGACTTTCTTCTTTCATGAGTTATTTACAAGTTTCTGACCACTTATAAAATGTGTTGTCCATTGTGTTGGATTGTCACTGCGACCCTCTTCTCCAACTCTTCACACACTGATAGCAACACCTCAGGAGAAATGCCAGCACAGGCTTCCGGTATCCGTAGTTTCAGGTGCCGCACATCTTGTATCTTCCTTGTACCTATCTATCACAGCAAAACAAAACATCACAATGTCAGATTTTTATCGTGCAGCCCATTGTCCACTGAATGAAACATTAATTTTCATAATTTGTGAGATGTTTGCTCATTTCTTGTTCTCCAGCTTCAAGGGGTGGCCAAGTTTCTGAATGGCAGCAATGCTGAGAAGGATGTGGACCTGAGAGTTGTGGTGCTGGATGAGAACGACTGTCCTCCGGTGTTTAACCTGACCATTGGAGCGGTTTCTGAACTCAGTGCCAGAGGTGTGAGATCATTTTATCCGACTCTTTCAATCATTTTCATTGTGCAAGTAATTTATGGATTTTTAATGAAATTATACAGCTGATTTAATTGACTAAATGAGGACGAACAGTATATTGGATTCATAGTGTTTGTATAGTGGTAAAGCATCCCACAAGGCAGGCGAACATGACTTCATCAATTGTAATGTTTCCAAATTTTTCTTACCAGGTTTTATATCTGTGTATTGTTTTCTGTGGCTGTTCATACTTGAAAATGTGTTTAATGCACTATAAAGCTTGATGCATCAGAATCAGTATTAGGTATTGATCACCATGACAAGGAATTGGTACCCAGTATCGGCTGCAAAAATCCTGATTGAGCGCTTACAGTTTATTGCTGAGTGTATATTGGATACAATGCATATACCCAGAATGCATTGCATTGCTTACGACACATTCCCGTGCTCTATTACCTGTTTTGGGGGTGTTTATAATGTCTTTATTTTTGTCTGTGTGTTTGCTTTTTCAGACACATTAGTGATGAGCATCACTGCGACAGACGCAGATGAAGAAGGAACTCTGCATACAAAAATCGCCTACAGTATAGTTGAACAGAGTCATGCGGAGATGTTTTACATTAATCGCGAGACTGGAGGGATTTACGTCATGCACAACACACTCGACAGAGAGGTATGCTGACACTAACTTATCTCTTAAAAAAACATATTATTATTTTGAAAAATATTATTATGAAAAAAAATTATTATATTATATTATATTATATTATATTTTATTATTTTATATTTTATTATATTATATTATATTATTTATTTTATATTATATTTTATTATATTTATTTTATTATATTATTTTATATTTTATTATATTATATCATATTATATTATATTATATTATATTATTTTATATTATATTATATTTTATTTTATTTTATTTTATTCTATTATTTTATATTATATGATATTATATTATATTATATTATTTGTAATTATATTATATTATATTATATTATATTATATTATTTTATTTTATATTATTTTATATTGTATTTTATTATATTATATTATATTATATTATATTATATTATATTATATTATATTATATTATATTACATGATGTTCTATTTTATTATATTATATTATATTATATTATTTTATATTATATTATATTATATTATATTACATGATGTTCTATTTATATTATATTATATTATATTATATTATATTATATTATATTATATTATTTTATATTGTATTTTATTATATTATATTATATTATATTATATTATATTACATTATATTTTGTTTTATTATATTATAGTATATTATATTATATTTTATTATTTTATATATTATATTATATTTATTATATTTTAATATATTATATTATATTATATTTTTTATATTATATTTTATTATATTATATATATATATATATATAACATTACATTACATTATATTTTGTTTTATTATATTGTTTATATTATATTTTATTTAATTAATAATTTTTATTTAATTAATTAATTGAAGTAACAAGAAGACAATATTTTGTGCTTTTTTTCTTTACAGAAAATAGACTCGTACACACTGACCGTTAAAGGCACTGACATGAACGGAGCTCCAGGGGGAAATTCAGGAACAGGGAAAGTCGTCATCAATATTCTTGATGTCAATGATAACGTTCCTACTCTGGAGAAGAACATAGTAAGTGTTTTCTTTATTATAATGATGATGATTATCCTTTGGTCATTTAAGAAAAGAGTCTGTTAAGTCTTACAGGAATGATGTGTGTGTTTCTCAGTATGAGTGCAGGGTGGAGGAAAACACCAGATTTGTCGAAGTGGTGAGAATTCAAGCTATCGATGCGGATCTGATCTACACCGATAACTGGCTGGCCGTCTTCACACTGGTGTCAGGAAATGAGGCCGGTTATTTCTCCATAACCACAGACAAAAAAACCAACGAAGGCATCCTCATGCTCAACAAGGTAGACTGATCAAACTCCTTTATGCTGCTTTGTCTTTAAAAGCTGTGCTGTTCTTTGCACACCAGCTGTAAACCAGACATTATTTTCCGTTATACTATAAGGCTGTTGAATGCTTGATTCTCACTCATTCTAAGATGTGACGTTTATTTTCAGATACATGCATAGCTAAAGTAGTTCCGGCAGGTTCTGAGCACATTACAGTTTTCTAGACAAGAAAAAAAACATTAGGGATGCTCCGATCAGGATTTTTGCAGCTCATACCGAGTACCAATGTCATGTTGATCGGCCGATACAGAGTACTAATTTTGTTGCATACATTTTCAAGTATGAACAGCCACAGAAAATAATACAACATATAGAAAAATGACAAACAATGCAATTTGGAAACATTGCAAATGATAAAAGAAGAATTCATGAATCAATGTCTCTATCAAGAAACAGTTTGGAGCGTACATCTGATGCATAAGAAGATAAAATGCACACCTATAAATCTAATACTTCTTTAATAAAAGGAAATAGGCCTAAAGACTACTGTAAATATATTACAAGAAGTTGTATTATTAAATATTCATGTTAAAAAATAAAGTTTAAGTTTTATTTATCTAATAATTCCAGCCAGCTTTTAGTGAACTGGCAATATTGTCAAAAACACAGAACTTTCAGTTGTTATATGTAAAAAGGCCCAATTACATGCAGGACCATTCCAATATCTTGCTGGTCTCCAACTATAAACAGCAGATCTCTCAATGAGAGAGACAGAGGGATTTACACTCGCGATATCTTTACTGCTCTATTCATTTAACCTAACAAATGTAAGGCTTAGACCAGGGGTGTCAAACTCAATTCCTGGAGGGCCGAAGCCCTGCACAGTTTAGTTCCAACCCTGCTCCAACACTCTTACCTGTAGGTTTCAAACAAGCCTGAAGGACTCAATTAGTTTGATCAGGTGTGTTTAATTAGGGTTGGAACTAAACTGTGCAGAGCTGCGGCCCTCCAGGAACTGAGTTTGACACCTGTGGCTTAGACCATCACTGTGCCTCTCACGATCTAAAATTTTCAGGCAAAATATTGTCTAGTTTTCAGAAATAATGAGCTAAAATGAAGTGAGTTTTTCCTTATATCAAGCAAAATAATTTGACAATGGGGTAAGATAAATAATCTTACATCAAAACGAAAAACAACGTTAGTTTGCTTCCCCCATTGGCAGATTATTTAGCCTGTTTTAAGGAAAAACTCACTTCATTTGGACTCATTATTTCTAAAAACAACACTATAATTTACTCGTCTAGAAAATGCGTCTTAATTTAAAAATTTGTAGATATTTGGACTAGAAACAAGAGAAAAAAATGCATTTTTTTGCAGTAATACTCTGATGTACTGTCTGCAGTGCACATTGTTTATACTGCTAAGAACAGACTGAAATATTCAGGAAAAATAGCCAGATGGTAGAAATCAACCTTTTAGATCAGGAAGCTCTGAAATAGCTGTAATAGTTAACCCTGTTGGCATGACTGAATCTCAATGGCTGCTGCTCTGCTGAATTATTATTATCTCCATGAGGCCAGATACTCCTGCATTCCTCTGGCAAACGCTCAGCCGCTGGACAACAAGCTGAAAACACTGATCTAAGAAAAATAAATCTTGCTCTGAGAATCGCCTGCTACACTGCAAAAATGCTTTCCTTTCTTAGAGTTTTTAGGTGCGTCCCAAATCCCATTGTGCACTATTCTGCGTCATTTTGTAGTATAAATAATCTAAGTAGTGCATTCACACTGAAATATTATTTATTCTAAATAAATTAAGCACACTTTAAATACCTGGTTGATGCACATAATTAACCGTTAAAAATCAATGTGGAATGTTGGACACTTCGCACACTTGTATGAATGTATGATGCATATGTAGCAGAAGGGGTGGGGTTAGAGATGAAGGGGTGGGGCTATCAGGCAGTGACGTTGGATTACTTTATTTATTTTGGATTGTGAAAGCTAAGTTCTCCTGATGGTGAATGTGGTTATGCTCATGGCAGGCACTATTTGGTAGTTTGGTCATTTAGGGAATTTCCAGTTAGTAAAACGTTCCATTTGGGACGACACTACATGCATATAGTTGAAGTCAGAATTATTCGCCCTGTTTAAATTTCTTTCTTTCTTTAATATTTCTTAAATGATGTTGAACAGATTTAGGATTTTTTCACAGTATTTCCTATAATGTTTTTTTTCTTTTGGAGAAAGTCTTATTTGTTTTATTTCGGCTTGAATAAAAGCAGTATTTAATTTTTTTAAAGCCATTTTAAGGTCAATATTATTCGCCCCCTTGAGCTATATTAGTTTTGGATTGTCTCCAGAACAAACCACTGTAATACAATGACTTGCCTAATTACCCTAACTTTACCCTAATTAACCTAGTGAAGCCTTTAAATGTCACTTTAAGCTGAATACTAGTGTCTTGAAGAATATCTAGTCTAATATTATGTGCTTTCAAAACAGAAATTGGCGGAAAAATATACAGGAGGGTGCATAATTCTGACTTAAATGTGCAGCAGGAAGTTTCCTGCATTCCTTCCTTGTCCCACTTCCTCCTTTTCACCCATTGTTTATTTCTGTTAAAGGAACTGGACTATGAGGAGCTGAAGGAGATCCGACTGCAGGTTTCTGTCTCAAATAAAGCGCATTATCACTCGTCAGTGGTCATAACAGGGAGCAAAACATACACCATCCAAGTCAGTGTGATCAACCAGCCTGAAGCCCCCCGCTTTAAACCAGCCGTCAAAGTCATCACCATATCTGAAGAAAGCACCACTGTTATCCTAAATAAAGTCATAACTAATTATGCAGCGATAGACAGCGACACCATGCTCATTGCTACTAATGTAAGGTAAGACTGCAGAAAAGTTTACATTAAATACATTATTTCCGTATAATAATCTTAATAATTAATCATTTGATATTCAAATATTTCCGTCATGAACACTCTATGGATTTAATATGGTAATGAATATGTAAATGGCAGTGTTGGTGAATTTGGTCTTGGCAGAGTAGATCTGCTACGCTGCTGCTGCTGCGTTGATTATTATGGCAGATCAAGTACCGAGACCTGCTACTGTCAGTATATACACAGACATGCCGTCTCAGAATATAACACGCTGCTGCTGCAAACTTAATATATATGTAACTCACGTAGCAGATCTAAACACAGGTGGAGCTGGGGTGGAGGAGGGTCTTCGAAAACGTGCCGCAGCTTAAACAGCGTAGAATGACGCGGAGCTTTTAAACTGATGAGGAGCAAACTCATTGGCTGCCGAGGAGACAGCAACCAATCTCCTGTGATAAATGTATGTGCATACGTAGCAGAAGGGGCGGGGTTAGAGATGAAGGGGCGGGGCTATCAGGCAGTGACATTGGATTACCTTATTTATTTTGAATTTGTGAAAGCTAAATTCACCCATGTAAGTGATTGTGCCGCCTCCTGTTGGTGAATGTGGTCATGCTCATGGCAGGCACTATTTGGTAGTTTGGTCACTTATTTCACTAATTTGACAACCGTCAAACATCATCAGGGAATTTCTGGTTAGTAAAACGTCCCATTTGCTGCAAACATAATGTATATGTAACCCACATAGCAGATCTAAACACAGGTGGAGCTGGGGTGGAGGAGGGTCTTTGAAAACACGCCGCTGCTTTAACAGCGTAGAATGACGCGGAGCTTTTAAACTGATGAGGAGCAAGCTCATTGGCTGCCGAGGAAACAACAACCAATCTCCTGTGACGTAGTTCATGACACAGTAGCAGATTAGGTGACCTATCCGGCTGCGCGCATAGAGTTTCACGCCGGAAATGTTACTTATTTTATTATTTTATTTAATATATTTTTTAATAACACTACAGTGTAGGTAACAATTCCCACTAGTCTCTTATTACCTGGATGTTATTAAGATATGAACTGTTTATTGGTACTTATTATAAAAGGACATATTCTGCGTGATCTTAATTTACATCTCTAATCTGAAACCCAGCTATACCTTAATGACTAATAATAAGCAGCAAATTAAGAGTTTATTAAGGCAAAAGTCATAGTTAATGGGTTGCTAATAGTGACATTTGTACCTTAAACTGAAGTGTGACCATTGTTTTCTTTATGTATAGTTAAAACAAATCTATTTTACTTGTTTTAGGTATGCAAAAGGACAAGATGTAGACAACTGGTTGATTATTGATGAGAAGACGGCTGATATAAGACTCAACAAGATACCAGATTATGAGTCCGTATTTCTGAAGAACTACACATATTATGCCCATATACTCTGCATCACTAATGGTAAGTCAGCTCTAAAAACAAAGCAGTGTGTTTTATGGTACATGTGTATTCACCCTCTTGTGAATTTCTTTATCAAATATCACCCAAATGATGTTGAACAGATTCAGGAATTGTTCACAGTATTTCCTAAAATATGTTTCTTCTGGAGAAAGTCTTATTTGTTTTTATTTGGGCTAGAATAAAAGCTGTTTTAAATTGTTTTAAACACAATTTAGGGTCAATATTATTAGCCCCTTTAAGCAATATTAGTTTTGGATTGTCTCCAGAACAAACCACTGTTATATAATAACTTGCCTAATTACCCTAACTTTACCCTAATTAACCTAGTGAAGCCTTCAAATGTCACTTTAAGCTGTATAGAAGTGTCTTGAAGAATATCTAGTCTAATATTATTTACTGTCATCATGGCAAATCAGTTATTAGAAATGAGCTATTAAAACTACACTGAAAACCTTAATAAGTTGACTGAACTTAATAACTGAGTAAACTCATTGCTTCAATTTAATTTAGTAACGGAGTTTCCGAAAACTTGCATATTTAAGTTTATTTAACTTGGCGGTTTGGTAGATTATACTTAAATTGTTCAGTTCAGTGTGTGTGTAATTATATACTATGAAAAACATGTTTTAAAGAAAAGTAGCTGTTTATTTCCATTATGGTGAATAATTATACATGAAGCCTTATTTTCTGATTAAAAAAGACCTTGCACTAAAAGGTTGCACATATTAGAATTTTACAGTCAAGACTACATTAAAAACGACCTATTTTTTCAAAGGATTAATTGTGATTTTGAGCTTACTATACTTGAAATCTTAAGTTTATGCATTTTCGTTGTATATAAGTTAAATTAACTCATATTTTTTAGGTGATAGGACCAAAATGCTCAATTTTAAGTAATGTTCAGTCAACTTTACTTGATTGTTTAGGTAAAGACAACATTAGGGTTTACAGTGTATTATGATTAGAAATGTGTTGAAATATACAGGTAGGCTTATAATCAGGGCTTGACATTAACTTTTTGGATCACCAGCCACAGTGGCTAGTAGTTTTCCAACGTTACTAGCCACTCTGCATTTTCACTAGCCACAATTTTGTTGTTGGAAAAATATTTTTATATGCATAAATATGACTTTGACAAGCTAAAATTACTTGATTTAGATTTAGTTTTCTTTCCACATGCCTTCTCAATTCATTTCACATTTTGTGTGTCGTGTATGAGCAAATAGGTCATGACTTCATAGTGCTACACTGCAATTAGTTTTTTATTTCACATGACTTTTCAGAACTCAAAATGAAGGATTTACCAAATTTATCTCTGACCACTTCAAACAATATTTATTATTTAATAATTAATATTATTTCTTAGCCACAAATTTTAAATGTGTCAAAACAAGCTAAATATAGCTGTATACTAGACTTTAACAAAACATTTCTTTAAAAAAAAAAACAAAGAAAAACAATTGACTTTTAAAAATAATTATTGTCATGTATCTAAAATACGCACAGTAATCTGTCCTCGCTAAAGGTCCCTCAGATCACCAGTTAACTACACATAAATGGAGAGTTAATCTCATATTAAAGCAAATGTTGTTGTAAAAAACGTTAATTAAACCATATTAACAAAAATAACCATAAGCAAAAGAAAGCAGGTGAAAAAGATACTGTTTGATAATGAAAGGATGATCACACGGTTAAGGCCATAACTTTTTTTGTCTGACTATTTGAAAGAGAACCGATCACTTGTCCAGGCGTGGTTGCTTCAATCAAGGAAGCAGGAGCATGCACGCGCTTCAAACACATCAGCTGTTAGCTCGAGTGATCATTCTCTCGGAATTTATCTGCTTTCTTTTGCTCGCGCGAACGCTTTTTTTTTTGTTACTCTCGATTCTAAGATCACATTTGCACGCATATTGGGTCATTCTTTTAGTCGAACCCTGCTTCTAAGAAAACCACAATTTAAAAATTATTTTCAACCAGCCAAAGTGGCTAGTGGGAGTGACTGTCTAACCAGCTGAAATCTACCTGCATTTGGCGTGTTGGCGGGTGTTAATGTTAAGCCCTGCTTATAATCCTGACTTCAGCTGTATATTCATAAATAATCGCCTTTCCTTTTCCAGAAACTCCAGCTAAAACAGCCACAGGTACTATTGCCATTCAAGTGAAGGACTTCAATGACCACTGTCCAGTGCTCATCCATCAGTCTCAGAAACTGTGCTATGAAGAGCATGTGGTTTTCGTCACGGCTGAGGACAAAGATCATTTCCCCAATGCACATCCCTTTGGTTTCAAAGTGAACACCAAACACACGAAGGAGTCGTGGAGCGTCGAACATTTCAACGGTAATACAGCTATAAATATAACCAGGGTGCGAATTATACATTGACGATATATTTTGTGGTTATATTAGTGCAAACAAATTCACAACCCAGGCTCATTGTGGAAGCGTAACCCCGCGGACGTTTCTGGAGACCGTGAAATATGTCCCGGGAGGTACGTATTTGTGCAGTTTATGTTTTCGCGAATCCGCGAGAGGCCGCTGTGCCGCGCTGTCTTAAATGCCTCTCGGGAGCGTGCGCCGTTAGCACCTGCACTGTTCTCACGCGAATAGCCACCAGAGGCCGCTGTCGAGCGACCGTCTGTCCGACTGGCCGAACGACTGAACGATCGACTGATCCTCCTCCTTCCCTAAACCCAAGAGATGATTTACAAAAGCCGTCCAGAAAAGAAAAGCAAAAGCCCTCGTCCGATTTTGACCGAGTTTTCGGATTTCGCCGCATTCTCGCCCCGTCACGAACTCGTTCGCTTTTCAATTTTTGCATTCTGTTTTTCATCTTACCTGATTTCTGGAACCGCTCTTCCCCGGACTCGAACCCGGTCGTCACCGCGGGTGGCTCCTCTTCCTCCGGGCCTTCGCTCCGTCGATGTAACACCACAAGCTAAGCGGACAAACTGGTTGCAGCGGGACAGCCCTCCACACGGAGGTGAGTGAGCCGTCAGTCACAGCCAGCGAGCGCGAAGAAGAGGAGCGGCGAACACCGCCCCGCAGCGTTCGCTCGAAAAACCTAATGCGGCATTACGTACCTCCGGTCAATTCCAGAAATGTCTGCAGGGCTACTTTTTCAGAATGAGCGTGGGTTGCAAATTCAACATAGGCTCATTGTGATTACGCACCCCCGTATACAGTACATTCGTAAACAATAACTGCAATTAAATGACCTGACAATGAAAAGTAACCCCTTTAAAGTAATCTAACTGCAGTAATTAGTTAGTTTCTACCTGATCATTACACCCAACACTGCTCCCATCATGCTTTCAGACACTGCAGCGATCTTCCGGTCCCAGGAGACGCTGTGGCCCGGCGTGTACCATCTGTCAGTGGATGTGTGGGACCAGCAGGGGAAGGTCTGCGGCGCTCAGCTGCTGCGGGTGGAGGTCTGCATGTGTGGCGCTGAGAAAGTCTGCCTGCCAGTCACCGTGGTGTCCCGATTCGGAGGGTCTGGGGTTCTTCTCATGCTGCTGGGTCTGCTGCTGCTCCTGTGTGAGTTACAGCAACATTTCAGATCTCCATAACAATAGTCTGTAAAGACAAACACATAGTGTATATAGAAACCTGATGTATGGTGATATACACTCAAAACATGACCTTTGCTCTTTGTTCACTTATTTTCTTTGGCTTAGCCACTTATATATCAAGGGTCGCCACAGTGGAATGAACCGCCAACTATTCCAGCATATGTTTTATGCAGTGGATGCCTTTCCAGCTGCAACCCAGCATTGGGAAACACCCATACACACCCATACACACACACTACAGCCAATTTAATTAATCGATTCCCCTATAAGGCATGTGTTTGGACTGTGCGGAGCAACCCGGGAGGAAACCCACGCCAACATTGGGAGAACATGCAAACTCCACACAGAAATTCCAACTGACCCAGCTGGGACTCGACCCAGTGACCTTGCTGTGAGGCCACAGTGCTAACCAGTGCTAATATTGGTGTTGATGTGTTCGCAGTGATTCCTCTTCTGCTGTTGTTCTGCCTCTGCGGTGCTGCAGGAGCTGCCGGAGACTTCAAGGCGATACCATTCGATGCTAAAGAGCACCTTATTGCATACAACACTGAAGGACAGGGAGAGGACAAGGTATCTGAGTCTAAGACAAGACATTTTACTGTTCAAGTGCTGGTCCAGAGTTTATTTTTAAGGCTTGGTTGTGTTTATAAGATGCAAAGTAATGTGTGCTTATGCTTCACTTGTAGAAATACACGTTATTTGTTCATATATCTTACTTTATACAGCTACTCAACTAACATTAAAACCACTGTCATATTTCCTAGTTCCTCTGAAAACCCGCCCTCAAGAGGCTCTGATTGGTCAGCTAACATAATGTGCTGTGATTGCCAGATCGGTTCCACGTCACAAAGATAAGCGTCATGCAAGCACACGCTTTTGCGCTGTGTAAATACTGTCAGTAGCCAAGTTTTCATTCAAAAATGCAAATTAACTTTATACGTAAAACTGGATATTTGCATAAAAGACGTGTGAATAAAGCAGCGTTTCCATCCAATGAGTCAAGCTTCCTGCTTGTCACTTCCTGATTAACTGGCGCCAAATATCAACTGTAAAAACAGAATTTGCTGCGTTAGGAGAGGCTGCGTGAATCTTTTCTTTATTTAATAAATGACTTTCACCTTAGTAGACATTACCGACACGCAATGAACGCATGGTGGCGATTGACGCTCTTGACAGTTCTGGAGGTCATTAATAATATAATAACACTAATACTGAAAAGGTAAGCCGTTTAATGCTGTGTTCACACCAGACGCGGAAAGTGCGGATAAAATTATTCTATTCGCATGTAAATAACTGCGTGATTATTTGAGTTTACTCGCTTAATTCACGCGTCAAACCCCGCTTCATTCGCGCGTCAAATCCACTTCAGAACAGATGCGGATTCGCGTGATTGGCAGGGCGTCTGTCCGCCTGGTGACTCTAGCTTCATTGCTAAATGGCTAACATGGATTTTATTGAGAAAATTACAGCGCTTATGTGCTTTATGAAGACTGAAAAACGGTGTCATTATGTTTAGGGCTGGAATACACGCTATTATGTCATGACCGTGACGCAGCTTCAAGAATTAGTTTCAAACCGGAAGTACGAATTAGCTTGAAATAACGCAAAAACAACCAATTTACACTTTTTAGTGAAATATAGGTGTCCTAATAGTGTTTATAGCGGCGTGGGACACATATACCTCAAAAAATGTGTTTTGGTGTTTCGTGACCCTTTAAACATTGCGTATGGACAAAGCTGTAAATGAGCATACGCAGTAAAAAAATCAGATGTATGAAGCACTGAGTACTCAGAATCCCACTGCCTTGACTAGAGCGTAGGGGTGCTGAAGTTTAATATATGATATCGTAGTGGACCACCCCTTTAATGTTATTTTGTCCGCTTCCCCACAGGGCATGGCTCTCTTACACATGTCCAAAGACGAAAACACACGCACTAATGTGGGCACTGTTGGAGGAGCTCAGAAGCAGAGCGATGGGAAAGACGGCGCAGTGACCGCCGGCGGATCACACTGGTCCACGTTCTACCATTATGACCAGTTTAATAATAATGCATACCATCACCACAGGGATCGGACTGACGGAGACTTCATGTACGCGCAAAGAAAAGACGAACACAGCAGATTTGAGAACTACAACGCTTTTGATGGGCTCGCACTGTCTGATGCTTTCTTGGGCAACTATTACTCTCAGGTAGGTATTGATTTACATAGACCTGTCACAATAATCAATATATGGACTTAATGTGCAACACATAGAGATAACCTCAATGATTTTTATTAAAGCAATATATATCGCCCATACATAAAAAAAACACATTTAGCTGATTGCACAGCCTCTATTGGTTAAAAAACACTATAGACAGGCCTAGTTTTAGGCCCCTTTTACACTAATACGGTTTAGTTTTGAAACGGCATTTTAGGATGAAAACGATCCGCGTCCACACTGGAGTTTCACTTAGCATTTCTGAACAACTCTCCGTCCACACTATGACGTTGAAAGTGCACATCACGTGATCACACACACACTCTGGCATGCACTGCAGCGTATGGGTGCGTCTGAGCTCCAGGCTGTCAGCAGGTGCTTTAAGAACCTCTACCCACATGAGAGCTGTGCACGTCGGACTGCTCATCAAGGATCTACCGCTGGATCTAATCTCACTATATTTGTTAAACGTGATATTTGATTCATCTTGTCTCTATCTAACGACATATTCCCCGACTTTGGTCTTTTGAATCTATTACCTGTTCTCGGGTAACGTGTTTTGACTGAGCGCATATTAATAATATATTAATTAATGTAACTGCATACTCTAATTGTGCACATTTGACTGATTGCTTGCCTTTATTTTCATATAATGTATAAACTTATTGTAGTTTATACTGTTATAATGGCTGTTATTGATTATTAAAACTGATATTTCTTGTTTTCAATGAAAATGAAAGGAGGCAGTGATGTTATAGTCTCCTTTTTGTCATGAATATGCATACAGTGAAGATGACACTCGTATAAATATGTAGCTACACCACGACCATGCAAACTCCACACAGAAACACCAACTGACCCAGCCGAGGCTCGAACCAGCGACCTTCTTGCTGTGAGGCTAAGTTGCTAATATCAAAATTAAAATTGACAGTTCTTTATATAATTTTATTCTTGAGTTAGTGAGACAACGTAGCCTGGGTGATGTGAATAAGGTTATAAAGTACACTGTTTCCTTTGAAGATTTACCCGACGTGTCCTCGGGAGTTTGTTTTCTATATCAAACTTGTGAAGTCTGAACTTACAGGGAGAGGATGCAAGACTGAATTGTGTGTAGGCTACTTAATATTAAAGGGCACCTATGGTGAAAAATCTACTTTTCAAGTTGTCTGGACAGACATGTGTATAAGTATAGTGTACAGAGCATCATATCAGGCTGATATAAACACACACCTTTTTTTTTTTATTTACCAACATAAAAACGTTGGACCAATTGGAGCGGTTTTCAGACCGACCGCAACTTTACGTAGGAGTGCGGTCCCATCGCCCACCATTATTGATTGACAGGCGCGTGTCACCATATCCTCATTTTGTTGTTCCACGTCCGCCATTTTCAGCGTGTGAGTCACAGCGGTGTGCTAGAGGAACATCCTTGCTCTATTTTTAGATGTAAGGCTCATTGGGCTCAACACACGATCAGCATTCGGTAGGTTTGCAAACGTGTACTTTTCATTGCGTGTACATTCACAGAAGTCGCCTTTGCCTCACGTGGTGTCTCTTTGTTGCTGTGTGTGTGTGTGTGTGTGTGAGAGAGAGAAAGAGCGTGCTTATGTGTGTGTGTTTATACAGACAGCTTGTTATAGGCTGTCTGGACTCTGTATAGCTGGGTGATTTTCGATTTTGTTCTCCCCCCGCTCGTTAGCGGGAAACTGGCGCGGCGGATAGAAAACAGGGCGAGACGGGCAGCGGGACCACACATGCTGAATATAAGCGGGAGCGGTAGGATTTGGGCTAGAACCTGGCGGGATTCAATATTTAGTCCCACGCTGATCTCCACCAGAGTGCCATCTGAACATGCAAATGTCCGTGTCTGGTGTGTTGTGTCGCGGCTCTAAGCGGGTCATCCGGTGCCTCAGTCAAAGTAAATTAAGTGCGCGTGGTTATTAGACTGAGTACAAGCTTGGCACTTTAAACTAGCACACAGATTGCTGAGAAGCTATACAAAGACACGAATGATTGTGTCCTCTGTGGCCGAGGCTGAATGCTCATGTTCTCATGCAGCGTCTCTGCTTGTTCCCAAACACAGAGCGGGCGAGCTCTTGGCTCCGCCCCCTTGATACGTTGGGCGGGAATTTGAAACTAATTTTCATGTGAAGCTACACGCCCCTAAAACAGCAAACTGTGTACACGCCCCCAACATCACACTTTTGAACACATTATAATAAAAACATCTGAACTGTGTGTTGAACTTGACCTAAATTGGCACACTCAGAACAACCTTAATAGTAATATTAAATCATAAAAAAGGGGTAAACTATGTGCCCTTTAAGTTGCTCGAAAACTCCAGGGTAGTGTGGACGGATGGTGTAACTGTACTAAAACTTTAAAAAACTTTTTTAAAACTAAAACGTCTTAGTATAATCGGGGCCTTTTATAGTCGGGCAAAAAAATTGACTGAGGTTTTGTTTAAATTAAAAATGCTTACTGAAAGCTCATGCAGCATACTAATATGCTCTGATGTCTGACGTTACTTTGGATGTGATCATCTTCATTATTTAAAATAACAGTAAGGGGGAATTCTAGTTAGGATCTCATGATTTAATGGCAACGAGTTATACTAATAGTGCAGAACAGTAGGGGAAAATCACCACAAGGCAAAACGAGACACAGCAGGATGGGAAACACTTTACAAACCAGAAATCATTAGCCAACAATCAACAGGGTAAATATTTACGGGGGGAGAATGAGGAGGATGAGCAGATGGAGCAAATGAACTAATAATGAGATAGCAGCAGGGCTAACAAACATGTGAGAGACATCAAACATGACAATACAAGAACATGGTGGGCAAACACAATATTGAGGATAGCCGGAGCCAAGAGGTCTGGCGGTCGTTTAAAGTTCTGCTATATTAAAGGGGATCTATTATGCAAAAATCACTTTTATAAGGGGGTTAATCCCAGTTGTGTGTCAGCAGTGTGTGAATATCGCCAGCTACTAATGGTAAACAGGAATTAATTGTATCTTCATAATCAGACTTGATAATAACAGTCTGCAGAAACACTTTGTTTGGCATTCTCCCTTTGTATGATGTCATCAGTGGGAGAAAGCCCCGCCCACTAGTGCCCATCTTTCCCTCATTAGCATAAACACATAGGCATTTAGGCTTAGGGTTTGTAGCTCCACCCTCTCTTGAAAAGAGCTCTCGTTTGCATTTAAAGCTACATAGAATTTACATTTAAATCTCATTTGAATTTAAAGTGACAGTCCCTGATGTACGGCTTTACATAGTTATAATAAGCAAACGTCAAATTTAAATTATTCGATTGAAAAAAATAATTACCCAAATAATCGATTATCACTAGTTGCAGCCCTAATTTGATAGATGGAAGTTCTCATTTTATTATTATTTCCTGTGAATTTTACAAAGGACTATTCCTCAGTGAGCTCCTAACAGGCCTGACAGTAAACCACGTGCTCAAACAGAAACGCAGGAAAAAACTAAAGTATTATATTGCTCAATGAGACCCTTATGTTGTTTAATGCATGCGGGTCTTATCTCTGATCTAACTAGATAACATGACATTTTTGGTTTTTAGCCTTGTTTAAAGATCCGTGTGAACAGGGATTATTTTGATAAAGTTGTTGTGTAGGTATGAAATGTTAAGCTGAATGGTGACAGAACAGCTTTATTGTGAACTTTAGCCCTTTTTAAATAATAAATTGGTATTTTTGAAGCTTCATTGCAAATTTTAGCCTTTTAGTTGAATAAACTGATATTTCTGGAGCTTCATTGTGGACTTTACCCTTTTTAGTTGAATACATTTGTATTTTTGTAGCTTTGTTGCAGACGTTAGCCCTTTTAGTTAAATAAATTAGTATTTTGGAGCTTTATTGCGGATTTTGGCCTTTTTAGTTGAATAAACTGATATTTCTGGAGCTTCATTGTGGACTTTACCCTTTTTAGTTGAATACATTTGTATTTTTGTAGCTTTGTTGCAGACGTTAGCCCTTTTAGTTAAATAAATTAGTATTTTGGAGCTTTATTGCGGATTTTGGCCTTTTTAGTTGAATAAACTGATATTTTTGGAGCTTCATTGTGGACTTAATTGGTATTTTTGGAGCTTCATTGTGGACTTTAGCCTTTTTTGTTTAATAAATTGGTATGTTTGGAGCTTCATTGTGGACTTAATTGGTATTTTTGGAGCTTCATTGTGGACTTTAGCCTTTTTTGTTTAATAAATTGTCATATTTGGAGCTTCATTGTGGACTTTAGCCTTTTTTTGTTTAATAAATTGGTATTTTTGGAGCTTCATTGTGGACTTTATTGGTATTTTTGGAGCTTCATTGTGGACTTAAACCTTTTTTGTTTAATAAATTGTCATATTTGGAGCTTTATTGTGGACTTTATTGGTATTTTTAGAGTTTCATTGTGGACTTTAGCCTTTTATGTGTAATAAATTTGTATTTTTGGAGCTTCATTGTGGACTTTATTGGTATTTTTGGAGCTTCATTGTGGACTTTATTGGTATTTTTGGAGCTTCATTGTGGACTTTAGCCTTTTTACTTTAATAAATTGGTATTTTTGGAGCTTCATTGTGGACTTTATTGGTATTTTTGGAGCTTCATTGTGGACTTTAGCCTTTTTACTTTAATAAATTGGTATTTTTGGAGCTTCATTGTGGACTTTATTGGTATTTTTGGAGCTTCATTGTGGACTTTAGCCTTTTTGGTTTTATAAATTGGTATTTTTGGAGTTTCATTGTGGACTTTAGCCTTTTTACTTTAATAAATTGGTATTTTTGGAGCTTCATTGTGGAATTTATTGGTATTTTTGGAGCTTCATTGTGGACTTTAGCCTTTTTACTTTAATAAATTGGTATTTTTGGAGCTTCATTGTGGACTTTATTGGTATTTTTGGAGCTTCATTGTGGACTTTAGCCTTTTTACTTTAATAAATTGGTATTTTTGGAGCTTCATTGTGGACTTCATTGGTATTTTTGGAGCTTCATTGTGGACTTTAGCCTTTTTGGTTTAATAAATTGGTATTTTTGTGTCACTGATCAATATAATAATTCTCCAGCGTTTGTAAACGAAACAATCTCAATATCGTTACAGAAATCAAGCCACGTGGCGCAGAAGCAAGCTCTGGGAGACAATCTGAAGGTCTATGAGTATGAGGGTCAGGAATCTCGCGCTGGCTCATTTGAAGACATCTGCAGTCTCATGCACGAGGAAGAAGATCTTGCTTTTCTTGATAACCTTGACATGAAGTTCAAGACTCTTGCTGAGATCTGCAGCGGCTCCACGATCCAGCGTGAATCCATCAACGTGAGCTCCAAAAAAACAGAATCCAAAGATCTCAGCGTACAAGAGACGTCTAACATTCTGCAGTCTCAGGAGAAGAAAAGCTCCACCATTCTTGCAGGATCAGTCAATCAGTCCAGCAACATGCAGCAGACGTCTCAGGAGAAGAAAACCTCTACTATTATTGCAGGATCGATCAATCAATCCAGCAGCTTGCAGCATGCGTCTACAGGAGTGTATCTGCAGGAGCAGGTTATGCTTCCTAACACAACCCTGTTGGTTCAGCAGCCCGCCCTGTATTACGCTCCTGCCGCCCCTGTCTATGTAGTAGAGCCCCATCCTACAGTTTTGGTGGCGTCCGGTCAGGTCTTAGGCCATCAGGAGAACCAGAAACGTCCTAAGAATGCCAAACACGAAACGCACTACCAGAGCCTGGTCTATGTGGAGCAGCAGCAGCCATTAAGAGAGTCTCAGGGCAGCATCTCTGGAGCGGTTCACATGGTTAACACTGAAATAATGCAGTCCACTGAAGGTCACGGGGTCAGACGGGAGATCCGTCCTGCTAGAAGAGTCATGATGGAAGAGGTCAGAGAGAGAGAAGTGGATTCATTACATTTGAGGGTCCCGATGAGTCTGTAGGCAGCGTCACGCACTGAAAAACACTACCAACCTACTTAGCCCCTGTGTGTTGTTGGGTTGTTTTCATCCACTCTGAATCTTGATTTGGCCTCAGCTTTCTCAGTGTTTCAGCACATTGAATGCTTTCTGCTCACAAATCTTATTTTGAAACGTTTTGGGAAAATGCTCTGGCAGATTGACTCTCCTTTGGTTATGCTGGGGGCTTTTTTTACCCCATTTTTTCAGAACAGAAACTTTTGGGGTTGCCTTTATTAACTTTAGAGATTCATCAAAAATCGACAGCACGTAACAGCAATATTACTTACGCAATGGTGTTCTTATTTTAGTGTCATTACACAGTGCGCTAGATATAGAAAGTTTTTGTTAAACACTATATTAACATGGAAAAAAGACATGGAAAAGAGCGTCCTGATTTAGTTCTGCTGTATTTGTTAAACTGTAATCATATCTGCATGTTTCTAAATGATAAAATAAGTAAATATCCCAATGGTTATTTAACTCCCTGCTTGTGAGAACAGAGGGAAAAGCCAGTAATGATATTAAGCAAGATTATTCATTCATTCCTTTCCTTTCGGCTTAGTCCCTTTATTAATCCGTGGTCACCACAACTGATCCAGCACATGCTTTACGCAGCGGATGCCCTACCAGCTGCAACCCAGCACTGGGAAACATCCATACACACTCATTGTCACACGCACACACACACTACGGCTAATTTAGCTTAACCAATTAATCACCGGAGTACTCAGAGGAAACCCATGTCAACACGGGAGAACATGCAAACTCCACACAGAAATGCCAACTAGAGATCTGCGCGGGACTGAACTTTTAATACTGCTCCCGCCAGGTTTTATTCCGCACCCGACCGCTCCCGCTGTATATTCAGCATTTGTTATCCTCTACCCGACTCGACCGTTCCCGCTAACCCGGGGGTTGGGTGAGGGGGGTGTTCGAGAACTGAAGATCGGTTGGGGGGGTTATATGTTGAGCGGGTGTGCTTCATCTACCAACATATAAAGGCTGTAATGAACATATTTCTATGAACTCTTTCACAAAAGAGTTTTTCCACAGATCAAAGGATGTTTTAGTTTGTTTGTTTACTACTCTTTCCATTAGTAGGTTGGCTTTATCTTTGCTACTGCATATATATCCTTTAAGTTCACATTTAAATTTTAGTTTTTGAATGAGAATAAACTGAAAAAAGACACTGTATGGTTGATAAATTGCACTGTATTTTTGTAAAGAAAAGACATTTGTGTGTTTATAAAGCTGCTTTTTTTTTTTATGAAGACATGTATTAACCCTCATGTCCTATTGCAGGGGTGGCCAACCCTGTTCCTGGAGAGCCACCTACCTGCAGATTTTAGTTGCAACCCATATCAAACACACCTGCCTGTAATTATCACATGGTGTTCAGGTCTTAGTTAATTGGTTCAGGTGTGTTTGATATGGGTGGCAACTGAAATCTGCAGGAAGGTGGCTCTCCGGGAACAGGGTTGGCCACCCCTGTCCTATTGGGTCATTTCATCCACTCTGGGGTGATTTGTGTCTTAATTTGGCCACAGCTTTCTCTGTGTTTCAGCTAGCAGAATGATTTTTGCTGACAAATCTTATTTTGACACATATTTTGAGAAAATGCTTTGATTTAAAAAACAACAACAAATGCATGATTAAACATGTATAACCCACCAATCCGCACATCTCTATATCATATTCATAAGCAGTGCTGGGCAACGTTTCTTTTAAAAGCATGCATTGTGTTATTTGTTGTATTGTATAGTTACTTTTTAAGGAAAGTAATGAGTTGTGTTCTTCAATTGGCCTATGATTAGTTGTTTCATTCATTCATTCATTTTCTTGTCGGCTTAGTCCCTTTATTAATCCGGGGTCGCCACAGCAGAATGAACCGCCAACTTATCCAGCAGGTTTTTACGCAGCGGATGCCCTTCCAGCCGCAACCCGTCTCTGGGAAACATCCACACACACACACTCATACACTTAGCCTACCCAATTCACCTGTACCGCATGTGTTTAGACTGTGGGGAAACCGGAGCACCCGGAGGAAACCCACACGAATGCAGGGAGAACATGCAAACTCCACACAGAAACGCCAACTGAACTGAGGCTCGAACCAGCGACCTTCTTGCTGTGAGGCGACAGCACTACCTACTGCGCCACTGCCTCGCCCCATTAGTTGTTTCTAAAATTACAAAAAATTAAGGCAACAAGATTGTTTTTTTTACAGTGTAGGTCCCTTTCATTTATAGTACAAGTAAAATAAACCTCAACGTGTAAAGGATAAAGGGATAGTTTACCAAAACGATTGCATTTAAACAGTGTTTACTAAACCACCTTTAAGGGTTTTTGAATCTTTACAAGTATTTCTTTTTGTTATAAGAAGATAACAAGTAGTCCGTAGTCTTCGTTCCTCAGTTGCAATTTTGCTGTATCAGCCACACTGTAAACTGAAGACTATGGGTGGTCGTGCTTTCTTGTACAGTGCGCCTAAGCTATGGAATGGCCTACCCACCAGCATCAGGAGTGCTGTTTCTTTGGATTGTTTTAAGAAGCTTCTTAAGACTCACCTTTTTACTGTTGCTTTTGACTTAGATTGATTATTTTTGTCATTTTATCATCAAATTGTATTGAATCATTTATATTTTATTGTGGTCTTTTCATTCTATTTTATTTTCAGACTGTTTTTATTGCTTTGTTTGCCTGTTAGCGCTTTGGGACTGAGAAAAGCGCGTTATAAATAAAATGTATTATTATTATTATTAACAAGTACATTTTTTAAAGATAAATAAGAAGATATTTTGAAGAGTGCTATAACTATTGACTTTCATAGTAGAAAAAGAGTGTAAGTTAGCTGTTACAGGTTTCCAGCATTCTTCAAAATATCTTCTTTTGTGTTTAACAGAAGAAACTCCTACAGGTTTGAAATAGTAAACAATGAGAGAATTTTCATTGTTTCCCAGTGCTGGATTGCAGCTGAAAGGGCATCCACTGCGTAAAACATATGCTGGATAAGTTGGCGGTTCATTCCGCTGTGGAGACCCCGGATTAATAAAGAGACTAACGAATTAGTGAATGAGAATTTTCATCCTGAGGTGAGCTGTCCCTTTAATAAGCTCCGCAGTCCGAGAGCGCCGTCCAGTGGTCAGCAAAGGAACTGTTCTAAAGTAAGTCCCCTCAAAAGGTGTCCATTTCAGTTCATTAAATTAGCCGGGCTGTGTCTCATTCAGCTGATGCATTAAACTGACACTAATGATGAATGTGCGCTTGCTTATTCTGCCATACAGTGCATCCTGCACGAGTCTGATTGCATTGCCAGTGCACAGCTCTTATATCAACCCTCTTATTGACAAATGTTTTGTATTTTTCATCTTGTACTTTGGTGATGACTGCACTATATGTTCCTGCTTTACGATTAAACGTGATTTCCCCCGCGCGCATTGTCCGGTGTCACGAGCCAGGAGCCCGTGATCACGTGACCCCCTCCGCCGCAGCTGAAGGAGAAGGCATCAGATCCAAGGAGACATCCTCGTCCATTCATTCACGCGCATCTGTTCTCATTTCTCCGCGTGCACTTTTTTAGTGCAACCCTTCAAACCGCGTCTCATTGATGTGCCGCAGATGACGCGTCACGGATGAATATGATGCGCTTTATTTTAGACTGCCTGCGGCCGGCACGAGCCCGCTCTGCAGCCGCTGCCAGGTACACCAATGCATGCAGAACACAATATCATTATGGGATGCATCCGAGTGTGTGCGTGCGCTTTAATGCTGTTTAATTGATGCATTCGCCAGAAATCATCATCATCATCATCTTTCACGGTGTAAATAATGGTGTGCGTGTGTGTGTGTAGTGTAGAGGTGTGATTCATCATCCTGACATCATATGACACGCATGGATTGCATAATTTGACTGTACACATTTATCTTGGCATTTCGGCTCGCATCTTCGTTCGATTTGATATGTGATCATGTTTCAATGCAGTGTTCTAGTGTGTGCACTTCAATGTTGTCATTTGAGTGCACTTATATATTGTTTCAGGGACGCGGAGCTTCAGGCTCAGGATAATGGCACTTCTGAGGATATTGAAATCAAGGTAGGCTACTGTACTGTGGTGTTTTATACGTGTTCATATACTGTACTCAGAGACTGCATGAGGGAAAACACTTGATTATTTATTTATTTATTTATATTGCTACTTTTTCTTTTTTTTTTTTGCCAAACTTATGCAAGAATATATGGAGGATGAAACCTGCAAAAACAATAAATTAAAAAATATGCAAATACATAAATAAATGCAGAAACTCCTGCATAAATAAAATAATAAGCACAAAAATAAATGCATATAAAAATCCACAAATTCGTGCATATATATATATATATATATATATATATATATATATATGCACATATATATGCACATATATATATATATATATGAACAGATTCAGAAATTTATCACAGTATTTCCTATATTTTTTCTTCTGGGGAAAGTCTTATTTGTTTTATTTCGGCTAGAATAAAAGCAGTTTTTAATTTTATTTAAAGCCATTTTAGCTAATATACACACACACACAAAAGTACTGTCAGGTTCTTGAATCTAATTGGCTGACAGCCATGAGATATTCTGCAAATACCAGCACTCCTACAGCCTCTTCACCCTTGTGTATTACTCCGCCCACATACAGCGACAAGCAGAGGACACTCTACAGTCTGACAAATACTGCAGCTGTTGGACAACATAATGCACTTTTGCGGCTTTTTATTAGAGAATGTAGTTGTTTAGATAGCAACCATGCTATTAATTTATAAGGATAGTGTCTATTTGAAATATTTATAATTTCTGAGAGACAGCGCGTTGGCGGCCATTAGCCTGTCTCTGAGCATAGACGGTTGACGATGTTTATCCACAAGATGGCGACAGAGACACATAATAAGCCCTTAGAGCTGAGCAAATCATTAAACAGGTAAGTGACTTTCTAAGTTGATCTCCCTCTCTTTTGTACGCTGTAGTGCTGCATTTATACTAAAGTAATATTGTGATTGCAACAGAGAAATACTGGGAAATCTCTGTAGACTGATGGCAGTTCATGCCGTTCAGCCTTATAATCTTAAAATGTGAGCAAAATCAGCTGTTTTGTCATCACTTTAGACATTACGCTAGAGAATCATTCAAACACTAGCTCTAAAGTGACGTTGGTGAAAAAGTAACCAGCTGTGTCAGCTGCAGATGTGAATGAATGGCGGAAGAAAGTAGTTCCTCGTGCAAAAGGGTTTTTAGACTGTCTGTGTTTGATTTTCTCTTTTATATACACGATTATGCCGTCAAACTGTTGTATAAATGCAATATCACATGAGTAGCAGTGCGAAATGGCTGTATATCTGCACTGGTGAGACACTAAGACACTCGGCCTGTGGCCAGTTTACTGTAGTTAAAATTAAAGTATACTACAGTATTTACAGCTTGCAACAACAGG